TAGAACAGAGAGAAGTCAAATAAATAAAGGAAGAAGAAACTCTAAAAATTTTATAAGAGACGTTATTAAGAAAGTCCTTAACATTAATAATTTAGATAAAAGTTTGATACTGAATAGAATATTATGGCAAAAATTGATTCATGTAGCTGATCCTATTTAATAGAATAGTACTTGTTGAAATAGGAGAAGGTGCAAACCGTCGAATTCAAGCTGGATGATTGAAATAGAAAAGGGCTTCAAATGGTTTATGTGGCACAAAGGTACCGCTCAAACTGAAAAGAAAATTTTATCAGAGTGCAGTGAAACCTTCAATGTTGTACAGGGATAAAATGTTGGGCGGTTAAGAATTAACACGAGAATAAAGTAAGTGTAGCAGAGATGAGGATGTTACGTTGGATGTGTGGTAAGATTAGTCATAATAAGATTAAAAATAACAATATTAGAGAGAGTGTTGAACATGTAGAGAGAAAACCTGTAGATTATGTTGTAAGGAGAGTAGAGCAGAGAGAAGTCAAATAAATAAAGGAAGAAGAAAACCTAAATTTTTTATAAGAGACATTATTAAGAAAGTCGTTAAGATTAATGATCTATATAGAAGTTTGATACTGAATAGAATATTATGGCAAAAATTGATTCATGTAGCTGATCCTATTTAATAGAATAGTACTTGTTGAAATAGGAGAAGGTGTAAACCATCGAATTCAAGCTGGATGATTGAAATTTTGAGGGGCTTCAAAGGTTTTATGTGACACAAAGGTACCGCTCAAACTGAAGAGAAAATTTTATCAGAGTGCGGTGAAACATTCAATGTTGTACAGGGATAGAATGTTAGGTGGTTAAGAATTAACAAAAGAATAAAGTAAGTGTAGCAGAGATGAGGATGTTACGTTGGATGTGTAGTAAGATTAGTCACAATAAGATTAAAAATAATAATATTAGAGGGAGTGTTGGACATGTAGAGAGAAAATTTGTAGATTATGTTGTAAGGAGAGTAGAGGTGAGAGAAGTCAAATAAATAAAGGAAGAAGAAAACCTAAAATTTTTATAAGAGACATTATTAAGAAAGTCCTTAAGATTAACGATTTAGATAGAAATTTGATACTGAATACAATATTATGGGAACAAATTGATTCATGTAGCTGATCCTATTTAATAGAATAATACTTCTTGAAATAGAAGAAGGTATAAACCATCGAATTCAAACTGGATGATTGAAATTGAGAAGGGCTTCAAAGGTTTTATGTGGCACAAAGGTACCGCTCAAACTGAAGAGAAAATTTTGTCAGACTGCGGGTAAACCTTCAATGTTGTACAGGGTTAAAATGTTGGGCGGTTAAGAATTAACACGAGAATAAAATAATTGTAGCAGATATGAGGATGTTACGTTGCATGTGTGGTAAGATTAGTGATAATAAGATTAAAAAAAACAATATTAGATAGAATGTTGAACACGTAGAGAGAAAATCTGTAGATTATGTGGTAAGGAGAGTAGAATAGAGAGAAGTCAAATAAATAAAGGAAGAAGAAAATCTAAAAATTTTATAAGAGACGTTATTAAGAAAGTCCTTAAGATTAAAGATTTAGATAGAAGTTTGATACTGAATAGAATATTATGGCAAAAATTGATTCATGTAGCTGATCCTATTTAATAGAATAATACTTGTTGAAATAGGAGAAGGTGTAAACCATCGAATTCAAGCTGGATGATTGAAATAGAAAAGGGCTTCAAAAGTCTTATGTGGCACAAAGGTACCGCTCAAACTGAAGAGAAAATTTTGTCAGAGTGCGGGTAAACCTTCAATGTTGTACAGGGTTAAAATGTTGGGCGGTTAAGAATTAACACGAGAATAAAGTAATTGTAGCAGATATGAGGATGTTACGTTGCATGTGTGGTAAGATTAGTGATAATAAGATTAAAAATAACAATATTAGATAGAATGTTGAACACGTAGAGAGAAAATCTGTAGATTATGTGGTAAGGAGAGTAGAATAGAGAGAAGTCAAATAAATAAAGGAAGAAGAAAATCTAAAAATTTTATAAGAGACGTTATTAAGAAAGTCCTTAAGATTAAAGATTTAGATAGAAGTTTGATACTGAATAGAATATTATGGCAAAAATTGATTCATGTAGCTGATCCTATTTAATAGAATAATACTTGTTGAAATAGGAGAAGGTGTAAACCATCGAATTCAAGCTGGATGATTGAAATAGAAAAGGGCTTCAAAAGTCTTATGTGGCACAAAGGTACCGCTCAAACTGAAAAGAAAATTTTATCAGAGTGCAGTGAAACCTTCAATGTTGTATGGGGATAAAATGTTTGGCGGTTAAGAATTAACACGAGAATAAAGTAAGTGTAGCAGAGATGAGGATGTTACGTTGTATGTGTGGTAAGATTAGTCATAATAAGATTAAAAATAACAATATTAGAGAGAGTGTTGAACATGTAGAGAGAAAATCTGTAGATTATGTTGTAAGGAGAGTAGAGTAGAGAGAAGTCAAATAAATAAAGGAAGAAGAAAACCTACATTTTTTATAAGAGACGTTATTAAGAAAGTGCTTAAGATTAATGATTTATATAGAAGTTTGATACTGAATAGAATATTATGGCGAAAATTGATTCATGTAGCTGATCATATTTAATAGAATAGTATTTGTTGAAATAGGAGAAGGTATAAACCATCGAATTCAAGCTGGGTGATTGAAATTGAGAAAGGCTTTAAAGATTTTATGTGGCATAAAGGTACTGCTCAAACTGAAGAGAAAATTTTATCAGAGTGCGGTGAAACCTTCAACGTTGTACAGGGATAGAATGTTGGGTGGTTAAGAATTAACACGAGAATAAAGTAAGTGTAGCAGAGATGAGGATGTTACGTTGGATGTGTGGTAAGATTAGTGATAATAAGATTAAAAACAACAATATTAGAGAGTGTGTTGAACATGTAGAGAGAAAATCTGTAGATTATGTGGTAAGGAGAGTAGAGCTGAGAGAAGTCAAATAAATAAAGGAAGAAGAAAACCTAAAATTTTTATAAGAGACGTTATTAAGAAAGTCTTTAAGATTAGTGATTTAGATAGAAGTTTGATACTGACTAGAATATTATGGCGAAAAATGATTCATGTAGCTGATCCTATTTAATAGAATAGTACTTGTTGAAATAGGAGAAGGTGTAAACCATCGAATTCAAGCTCAATGATTGAAATTGAGAGGGGCTTCAAAGGTTTTATGTGGCATAATGGTACCGCTCGAACTGAAGAGAAAATTTTATCAGAGTGCGGTGAAACATTCAATGTTGTACAGGGATAGAATGTTGGATGGTTAAGAATTAACACGAGAATAAAGTAAGTGTAGCAGAGATGAGGATGTTACGTTGGATGTGTAGTAAGATTAGTCATAATAAGATTAAAAATAATAATATTAGAGAGAGTGTTGGACATGTAGAGAGAAAATCTGTAGATTATGTTGTAAGGAGAGTAGAGCTGAGAGAAGTCAAATAAATAAAGGAAGAAGAAAACCTAAAATTTTTATAAGAGACGTTATTAAGAGAGTCCTTAAGATTAACGATTTAGATAGAAGTTTGATCCTGAATAGAATATTATGGCAAAAATTGATTCATGTCGCTGGTCCTATTTAATAGAATAATACTTGTTGAAATAGGAGAAGGTGTAAACCATAGAACTCAAGCTGCATGATTGAAATAGAGAAGGGCTTCACAGGTTTTATGTGGCACAAAGGTACGCTCAAACTGAAGAGAAAATTTTGTCCGAGTGCGGGTAAACCTTCAATGTTGTACAGGGTTAAAATGTTGGGCGGTTAAGAATTAACACGAGAATAAAGTAAGTGTAGCAGAGATGGGGATGTTACGTTGAATGTGTGGTAAGATTATTGATAATTAGATTAAAAATAACAATATTAGAGAAAGTGTTGAACATGTAGAGAGAAAATCTGTAGATTATGTGGTAAGGAGAGTAGAGCAGAGAGAAGTCAAATAAATAAAGGAAGAAGAAAACCTAAATTTTTTATAAGAGACGTTATTAAGAAAGTCCTTAAGATTAACGATTTAGATAGAAATTTGATATTGAATAGAATATTATGGCGAAAGTTGAATTATGTAACTTATTCTATTTATTAGAATAATACTTGTTGTTATGGTGTTCTTTGTGTTGACATAGATCAAACCAAATACATAATCAATATGGAAAAAGAGAAATGTGCAAATGTTTTAAAGGTCAAAGAAAACAAATGATGTAACTTTTCAACTTGTTGTTCAAACACCCCCCTAAACCTTTGTGATGCTTCTTTACTATCAATGATATCAAGCCTCCCCATTGCAACAGAGTTTGTTCACTTGCATTCCCTTGCAAAGAGTACATTCATGCAGTTAATCGAATTTATTTAAACCAAGAGTAGTTTATGACACATAACAGATTTTCCAAACAATTTGTTATGATGAAATGAATGAGGAATTCCATTGTAGACTATTGACATGTAATATCATAACATTTTCAATAAAAGAAGTCCAACAAGAATTCAATATCATTATAAGAAGAATTCAGTATTGTAGTCTAAGCTCGTTCCAGTTCATATGTTGAGAACTTTGACACTAACAGCTTAGGAGGATATTTGCAGGCAACTAAATTTATGAATAATGATGCCATTCGTTCTTCAATTATAAATCAATCATTGTAGCTCATCTCCAAATGTTTAAAACTAATGTCTTATTTTCATTTTCTTTTGTAAAGCATTCTGTGCAAGATTTATTCTAGTTGTTTTCTCTTGGATAAACGGTTTAATTAAGCACTTGTTTTACTTGTGACATAAGTATTAATCATATAAGCATTCAATTGCTTACACAAGTATATAGGTTGAAGTAAATCAATTTAAACATAATCTTTAACTATTCAAATTTCAAAGATACAATTTTGTTAGGCTAATGAAAAATAAAACAGTTTACAATTGCATAGATAATATATTATCTAATAACAACAACAGAAACAACAATCATCCTCTCATATATTTGAGATTACTCATTCTGTTCCAGAGAAACCTTCCCATGAATTTCCAATAACTATAACTATTGTTACAATAATTATAATAAAAATATAAAAACAGATAATAAACAATTGCAACTGTCACAACTAAAAAGAATGCTGTAAAGTTCATAACCTTTCCCATCTTGAATTTCTTGAACAGAAGTGAAGCAACAAAACACACAACAGAAGCAACCATCATCGCAATTCTCACACAATATTCTTTCCCTATTCGAACTGTGCCCTGCAACTGCATTGGAATTGAAAGATTTGATGATGTGTTAGTCTTCTTAGCAGCAATGTTAGGCTTGATCCGGGGTCGAAATTTGTGGAAAAACTTGTTGAATTTGGTGGTGATGAAACAAGGCCGCGGTTGTTTCTTAGGGCGTGAAGAGATAGTGAAAAGGAAATGAGGAAGGTTGAGGAGAATGGAAAAGCGGAAGAAGGAGAGGGTTTGAGTGGAAGAGTGAGTTGCAGCTTTGAATCTGAATCTGAAGTTGAAATGTTTGGCTTTTGCAGTAACGCGGATTCGCCATGATTGATGTTCTCTCTCCTCCTCTCCTTCCATTCCACCATTCCCGAACAGAGAATGGAAGTAACCGTTGGAGTGAGGCTTTTTACATAATTGTTTTGAATACTTCTTTTTTTAATGCAAAATATTAATATGATCCGTTTCATAGGCAATAAATAATTCAAAGAAATATTCTTAAATTTTTTTCAATAGGTATTGATATTTTCTTTTACTAAATTAATTGTACTTTTTCTCATTTTAATTTATAATGCATTGAATATATATATATATATATATATATATATATATATATATATATATATATATATATATATATATATATATATATATATATATATATATATATATATATATATATATATATATATATATATATATATATATATATATATATATATATATATATATATATATATATATATATATATATATATATATATATATATATATATATATATATATATATATATATATATATATATATATATATATATATATATATATATATATATAAACTTTTTAATTCTTTAAAGAATATTTGTGCACTCAGTTGGCCGTATTCAAAATTAAAATATTATTTATTTAATAATAAAATTTTAAGCGAAATATCATTTTTATTTACTTTTCTTTAAATTGGTGTCTATTTTGGTCCTTTATTTTTTTAGAAGGACCAATGCAGTTCCTTGGATTCGAACCAAGCCACTTCACATTTTTTGGTTTATAATTACAAACTGAAATATATTCTTTGTTGTTTAGAATTGAAATGGTGAAATAACAACACCTTTGATTATATGCTTCGTCAAAAAAATTAAATTTTTAATTCACCTCCTCTTATCTTCCTCGCATTCACTTATCAGCAACCACAACATTTTTTCTCTCTTTTTCTTCAAAGATTTTTTAAAACACTCCTCTCAAATATTCCAAGAGTAAAACAACAACATCAAAAAGGAACAAACACATAAAAAACTTGATTGTTTATTTTTCTCTCACTTACTCTCCATCGATGAATCTGACGGTGTGGATGTGGTTGTAGAGTGAGGTTGGAAGGAGTTATTATTATATTTTACCTGCACACCGTTAGGATAAAAATCAATACTCAAAATCATCTACATGTAGATTCGATCTTATTATATTACTTTGCATTGTCATGCACATGCGGCCTTACACACATCAACTATAAATAAAACAAATTCATAAAATAACGTTTATGTCATAAATTTTATGCATAAGACTCGTACCGACATTCATAATTCTTATATTACGAATATCAAACATATATTTTTCACAATGTTTATTCATTACATATATTCAACACCGAAACTAAGGATTTAAGAAAAACATCAAAGTCAAGTAAATAATTTCATAACTTATAGTATCCTATTAAAGGGGTTATTTTTATGCTAATGACATAGACACTGAATACCATTGAGGAAAAACACGAGTTTAAATTTTCAAATTAAAGGACAAACTTTTGAAAAAGCCAAAAATTGAAGTAGTGGAAGAATAAATAGGATCCATACAAAAAGATGAAATATCTTTTTGAGAATTGTGAATACTTTTATGCGATTTCTTGTTCATAGTGTACTAGTTTTGCAGTTGTAGGAGATAAAAGGCAAAAGAGCAAAACAATTAAGCTCATAAACTGGAAAAAGAAAGACTAAAAAAAGGGAAGAATATGTTTATTTTCTTAAAAGAATATTACTTCTTAGAAGGCGCAAAACTTCACCAAATAATGATAATCATAAAAAGACCTTTTGAAGTAGGGCACATTAAATGCATGGCTCCTTGAAAGAACTATAACGTTTTTAGCCATTTGCTTTAAAAATATTCAAGGGCTAGCCAGTATCTTGGGTTGTGCTATAAAGCTTACGCATTCTTATATGACAGAAAGGGCTTGGGGGCAATTGTTTTGGGTCAGTCATACCGACTCAGATGGGTTTACATCGACATTATCGATTATGACCAATAATCAGATAAAGATCCCATTTCTTCTAGAATCTTCCTAATACACGAAGAATATTATTATAGTGATCATCAAAGATCTAAACTGTAAAACATCTAATTGCTCTCCCCAATTCGCTCCTAACTAATCAAGTTAAATATTTTCTCAATATTATATATAAAGAAGACATAAAAATCATGTATTAATCTTCTTCTTCATATACTAACTTAAGCGTTTTAGTGCTAATTTTACAGGCCCCTCATTCCTCTACATCAGAAGTTGTGATCTAACATCATTGCTGTTTAACTTCTCATTTTTAATTCCCGAACTGAACAATATTATGCTTGACAAATAATTACAAGAGTTGGATAGCAAGATATATAATGCTTTTAACATTGAAACCATTTGTACTCTAGTGAAAAAATATTATCCTATAGCTTTTAGTGATTAAGAGAAGAATAATTTTCAATTTAACTCTGAAATTTTCTATTTATTGCTTGTCAAGTATTAAATTTGAATATTTTATCAATTAGTCAAGAGTTATGCTCATATTTAGTTGTAACTGGACATGCTGAAATTTACTTCTTGATTGATAGATTACTCCACTATATCACGACACTTTCAATTTTTACAACTATAATTGAAAAAGATTTTTTCAATAGTGGAAATTATCAAGACTACGTTAAGAAACAAGACGTCTGTTGGGTTTCTTAGTGATAGTATGATAGGTTTTATTAAAATGGAGATTAGTACAATAATTAGTTCTATTAATGATTTCAAGATACTCGAAACGTATAAATATATGTTTTAACTTAAATGTTTATATAAAATATAATCTACATTTTTATTTTATTTTATCGGCCATCCCAATTTTTTTCTGGCTCTGCTGATATGTATGACAATCATTGATGAGTATACTTTTAGACTAAAGAGACTAAAGACAATTAGAATTGCACACGAACTCTATTGGTTTTTTGCCATGGACTACGTCGAAAGTTTGGTTTCACCTTAGAAGTGAGTTCATTTTTACTGATTACGATTGTTTTTTTTATATTTTTTGATTCTATGCTAATTGGTATGGGTGGTTTTAAAATCTTTTTCATGTTATAAATATACATTAGCATGTGTGAAAATTTCATTAATTATCTGATATTGTACAGCAGAATTCGTTTATTTGTATGATGATAATGGTACAACTATGAAATCTATTAGTTAATGACACAACCTTAGTATAGACTATAGCGTTTGGTACATGCCTAGAATCATGGCATCTTGGTTGAAGCTAGTTTCTATCTTTGAGTATTGGTTTGATTTGGCTGTAGTATCACACGCATTCATTTTTCTTCATCTTTTGTTAGGTTACTTCTAGTCTAATGCATATTTTTTAATGATAAGTCTATGTAACTACGACTCCAAACACATCTCGTGTGTGGAAGTATGGTAGGAACCTCTATCCTAATATTGGATGATAGTGAAATTGGAGAAATAGAAGGAGATAATGAGCAAGAGAAAGAGTCTTTCTTATTAGAGGATAGGGCGATTTTTTAGATTTATGTAGTATGATCTAAGTATAGGAATCGGATCATATTTTGTTACATGTGTCAGATTTTTTAAATTCAAAGAAAGTTTATATGCAATATTTCATATTTGTTACATGTGTCAGATTTGTTAACAATAAACTTGCTCTGTGACTGTGAATGTTGTTAGTCTTGTTACTTTGAATATTTTAGAGACATTAGTATGTTCTAGGATTATTACATTAGCGATTATGTTCAAGGGAAATTCTAGAGACATACAAATTCAATTAGAAAATTTTTTCCTTATTTAAAAAATCGGAAAACTAGAACAATTCCACAAACAGAAAACAACTTCTCCTTTTTGGCATTTCCATTCAATTTGAATTTACATGCGCAAGTATTGAAACAACATTGATTTTGGATATGATGGACGGTACAATTTGTTTGATTCAGGTTATGTAGTATTAATTAAAGCATAAGAAATATTAACTTTTACAGGAGTTATTGGATTGCATTGTATGTTCTAGGATTATTACATTGGCAATTATGTTCGAGGGAATTCTAGAACAATACAAATTCAGTTAGAAATTTTTTCCTTATTTACGGAATTTGTAAAGCAGAACAATGTGCTAAACAGGAGAAATGACGTAACCGAACACTTTAACCAATTTTGCTGCATGGGAGAGGTTTTCATTTGCAGAAAAACCATTGTGTTATGCAAGGTGCGTGAGCAAGTCCTAGAATATCCTCTCATATTTTATCCTACTAACGTGAAAATTGTCCTAGATTATGCTTTCATATAATACAGCTCATTTGAAAATTCAAATCAAATCTTTTAAGAATCAACTGATGGGAGGCTTACAAGATCTTGTGACACTTGTGCTCTAAGAGAGTTGTTCCTAAAGAAAATTATAGAACCTCTAATCGTTAGAATCCTACAATAAAGTATTATGAACGGTTCATCATCAACTATACATTATTCTTAAGTCTAAACCTTGCATTCAAGGTCTCAACTTACTTATTGTCACTGTTTTCATGTACATTTCCCACCTTAAAAGTTACGCAAACAACAATTGCCTTCAAGGTGTTCATCATCATCACCATCATCACTCGAGCTTCTCGAGCTCCTCAATCTTTATGTATCATTTTACATTGTTTGTGGGGATCGAAAATATTGTTAACACCTTGATTCTTATGGTGAACACCAAGAACATAAGCTTTGACTGAAATTATGAGAAACCTCTTACGTGGCCCACCCTAACCACCGTGGTTGTAAGAAGAACCACATAAAACATGAACGCTTCAACTTCCTCTCTTAAAGTCCTCATCCAACCCTAACAAGCAAGGGTTCCTTCTCAGAATGTGAAGATCCCAATGATTATACCGGCTGTCGCGGCGCATAAAAATATCTGAGTGGATGAACGCTCAAAATCAACAAGAGTCGTCACCGAAATTTATTTTTAAATGGGAAAACATCAATAAAATTCTAAAGGAACAAAAATATGGTGATCGCAACAAAATTAAGGTTCAGAGGTCGATTATGCGCGAGAAAGATATTAACACCTCACACATCCGTT